GCCCCAGCCCCGGCCTCCGGCGCTCCGGGTCCCGCAGCCGCCCGGCCGGCGTGGGCGGCGATGCGGGCGGATTCCCCCCGGCTGCCCGGCGGCGGCGGCACTTCAGCTACCAGTGGCGGCGGCGGCCATGTTGGCCTTGATCACGTGACCCGCCTCCGTCGCACGCTGGGGGTGAAAGTTCACGACGGAGGGGCGGCCGGACCGGGACCAGGAAACTGCCATTCGTACCGGGGTAGCAACCAGCTGGGGCCCTCCCCGGGTCTTTCCCACCGCGCAAGAAGCCTACCCGCCCCAGCTTTAGCGGCTTCGAGGTCCTTCCACCCCTCCCACTGTAGGGCTCCCTCCGCCCCTTAGCCCGGCCCCGGCTCTTTCCTCTCGCGCTGCTGCTTCGCTGGGGAGGCGGCTTCGGAATTCCCGGTCGTCCTTGGGCGATCCCACCGCGCGTTCCCAACAGTCGCCCCACCCCCCACCCCCAGTCCATTGCAGTCCGTTATTAGAGAAGTCCCAACATTTCAGCTGTCCCCCAGACATTAGAGCTCCCATAGGCACACGGCTAACATCGAACGGGCGCCTTCCTCCTGGATTCCCAGTTTATAAGACGATACCACCATCTACTCAGGTGTGCCCGCACAGGACGCTTGAGAGTCGCCCTTGACCCCACCCTCTCCTACATCCCTCACACTCAATCCTTCTCTAGATCCTGGAAGTCCACTTTTAAAGACCCCTTAAATTTTCTCATCTCTGTGTATCTCGTACTACTCATCCGTCCAGCTTAACCGAAAAATAGCTTTTCCTCCATCTCTGTACCTTCATTACAGCTTGTATACATTTTTATCAGTGGACTGACCGCTCCAGGGTTGGAGCCATGTGTGGGTGATGTGGGTGAACCCTGAGCCCAGCACGGCGGTGCTTGGCATGAGCAAGACATCCCTGAGTGTTTCTTCAATGGCTGTACCTACTTTGGCTGTCACTTGTCTAGTTCATAGTCTTTTTTTTTTTTAAAGATGACCGGTAAGGGGATCTTAACCCTTGGCTTGGTGTTGTC